AATAAAATCTACGTTAATCTATAAAATCATAATTCTATGATGTGCAATTAATCTCAAACTGAGTTGAATAGAAATTGTAAAAATTACTAAAGACAGTTTTCAAGTTACAATGCATTGGGCAGAGTATTCAAGTATTTAATATGTAATTATGTATGTGCACAATGTAAGAAGGGAACTAAAAAAAGTCGTAAATGTGAACGAAAAATGAGCTCAAGCTCCTGGAAGGGAATAAAAGACGATGCCTAAAAATTGATGTAAAAAATATTGGATCTGTGAATATGACTCCGTCATTTTCTAAGGAAGAGTGCCCGTAATCTTCTACGTTGCTGAATAAAACTGTGTAACTATATAAATTGTCACACTAATCTATACATAACATAGTTTCTTGGACCTTTGAATAGGTGTAGTGCGGAAAATATGCTTGTTTCGAAAAACTTTACTTTTCCCATTTAATTTGAGCGAGAGCATAGGTAAATCCTTACAATCCTGGCTACGGTACGATATTGAAAGACGAAATAACGCTAATACTTTTGTAGGGGTCAAATGGGCCTATCGCATTATGGTTCGCTCCGATCAAATTAAACGATCACTAAGGAATGTTACTAATACAATAACGGCTACAATATTGACCAAATATGAAAAAAAGAAAGCTCTACTATCGAACCAAAACAAAGTTATACACACGATAGCTATGAAAAGGCCAAAACTTGCGAATCAGCAAGTCTGCGCAAACTTAATGGAAAATACCGCTGGATTGATGCATCCCACTGCAAACTTTATACATACGTATGGTAATTAATAGGTGAAATATAGCGACGAGCAGCGACGGAAGAAACAATCTCGATAGCAAAGAAAATTCGAAATAAGCGCCAATAGCTATAATATGTTTCATCCTAAGTAGAAACATCAAGCACTTAGCTTAGCTCGCTGCCAAAGCCCAGTAAGCCAGCCAACGATTCCTTAGCTTATCGAGCTATCGGCTTACACGGATCATATATGTGTGAAATAATAATTTGTCACCCCACAAACGAACTCTGCTGGCCTCCTTCACTACCGATTTGAATACAAGAGAAAAATATTTAATTTAAATTGCAATGAGAGTAGTAAATTCTACAGCAACCGTTTTTATAGGAAGCAAACATTGGAAAGTCGAGATAAAAGAATATTGTCTTGGAAATTAAAAATGCTTCTAAGTTGGCCCGCTAATAACACAGAATGAGCGCGGGATACAACATTAATTAGTTAGAAGTTACTGACCGCTGCAATTTACTGTTCATAACTGATACAATGCAACGCAAAGCATTGTACAAATATGAAGTAGAACCATCTAAAACAAGGTTGAACAACTTCTTCCATCAATCGGCTAATTTTAATTCTCAAACCACGACGATGGCCGCAACGGGGGCCAACTACTTTTTAATATGTGGCATTCTGGATCAATTTTTCTTCGTCTTCTTAAATTCTTCATATTATGGCCTAATTAATAAAAAAGAAACACATTTAATATTTGATAGCTGCACAGTTGAGCTCGTAGTGAACGCAGATAAAATCGATTTATTGCATTGCTATGTACAATCAAATTGAATTATAAAGAAAAGGGGGCCGAACTGGACCCGTGCCCCAGCGGTCGCCCATTCTTGATCTAGAGAGTGGTCAGAAAATTATCCCAGTTGGCACTATGGAACCTCGAAAATGACTAAAATATTTTATAATTCCTATGCATTAAAGTAATTAAAATTATTAAATAATTAAGATAAATTATATGTGTTTTCCGCTTTGCGAATTTGGCTTTGAAACCCCGCAACTTGTAAATTTATCCAAGTGAAGTAAAGAAACAAAAACATAATGATTCGAAACTTGAAAAAAAGCATAGCACGCGTACGCAAATCATCTCTAAAACGCCCTTGAACAGGAAGTGATAATTACAGAGTTTATGGAGAAAGATGATTACGTTTGCAGCCATCTAACTGATTTATATACTCACTTATGTTGTAATTTCTTTTTGCACATGAATAGCACCTATGTCACTGGGTAATAGGCCCATGGTTTTATAGTTACTTAATAAATGAAGAAGATGAAATGAAAACAAAGCTTCGATATTGAAACCATACAAACATCAAATTAAAGAAATGTGCCATAAGAGATGGGATATGCAGTAGTTGTGCGATTGTAGTTCCGACAAAATAGAGACGAGCATTTTTCTTCTTGATAGGGATTGAATTGATCAATTAACATTAACATGCTTTTCGCAAACATTACAAAATAATCACATTAATCAAAATTACCTGAATTTAAGAAGAACACAGTAAGAACTACACTACCAATGAATTTGTATATGTTCTATGCATTTTAGGACTTTGAGAACAGAAAGTTGAAAGAATCGATTTACAGCAAACTGTTGAGGATGACAAGCTAAGTAAACGAAATATTAAGTAAATAGCTGATTGTAAACATAAATAGTCGATATTAACAAAAAGTTTAACTCGGCAATGGATTTAGCTACTCTAACAAAAAAACGAACATTTCATTTCATCTCGCTATTCCACGGTAGGAGCTGTCAAATGAATTAATTTACATGCGTTATAAGTAGCTTGGGAAAGTTATCGTGTTATATATCTCTCATCTGCGTTAATCAAGAATTCATATTAGTGTCGTCAAGCTGAAGTGTCACATTTCAGCAATGGCAAATATAAGAAAAATGAGAAAATAGTATAGTAGTAGTTACTGGGAAAGGATAGACTTCCAAAACTGTCTTACTTTGCTGTAAAGAGAAAATGAAAATAAAACTTCAAGATAATGTGTTAATTATAGATATGTCAGATGATATCACCAAGACTACATTTATCCTCCCATCCAGGGTCAATAACACTTTCAACGTGCTATATCGAGCTGCTAATCACTTGAGCCTTTGGGTATAAAAGGAGAATTTTTTGAATTATCCAAATTGATTCCACAAAATTTTCTATAAATTATAAGATGGATTTTTAAGCATTTTTATTTATTATAAATTTTCATTGCGAACAATTGCTGGAAAACCATGCTAGCTTGTGATTTTATGCATTCCAATATTAGTGCCATTTGCAAAGCCAATTGATAAAATGCGCATTTACATAGATGATTACACAAAAAATATTTCAATTTTAAAATTTCATTAATTACAAGTAGTTATAAAGCCTTTTGCTTTTATAATTTGCACTTTATAATAAATCTCAAATATCTATTTATCACCAGTCAAAATTTTATTCACTTCATTGCTGTAATCTGACGAGCATCTAAAACTGACAGCCTAGAGATACAAGTAAAAAATGACAACGAAAATATATCCTATTATCTAATTGTAGGCAACTTTCAATGAGTTAATAAACATTACTGACGAGAGGTTCAATTTTCTTATTGCCATCCTTTATAAATTTTTTGTAGCCGTATCGTCAAACTGGCTGAGAAATTTTTGGGGTTAACAAACTCAAAGCGAAAATAAAGCTACGTTGTCTAATTCCTATGTAAGTGGGGTTATGAAATTCCTAAAAAAATTCGACAAAAACGATGTAGAATTCATATGCAATTAGCATTTCGAACTTGACTGCACTTGCACTAAGCGTACGATTTGTTTAATTTCAAAGTAATAGTGAGTAAGGATAATGTAAATAGAGAAAATGCTAATTGTTTTGAGAAAAAAATTAAATTCACTGAATAAGTTAATAAATATTTATTGTTCATCTTCTACCTAAATACTTTTTTAGTAAGAAAACCTTTTCTTTGCCTTATTCTAATCTTGCATGAGTTTTTTAAACCTTCTATAATTTTTTATTTTCAATTCTGAGCCGATAGCCTGTGTTGCTAGTGCTCAATGTCTTTTTTTTTAGTCTAAGAATTCAATTCATTAGTCTAAAATTAAAATAATAATAATAATAATAATATTTTCAATTCTTTATAGAGCCTCAATTTTACTGTGAATTCTATATAGAGTGCGACAAAAATCACCATTTGTATATTGTAATCAATGGTCTGCATAGATACGGGTGTACAAAATTTCAGAGTATTGAAGTGTGTTGATAAATTTATCGATGTTTACTTTCTTCGGTAATGCCAATATCTGAATAAAAGCCAATGGGACAAACACTAAATCGATTACATTAAATGATTACGTTTAGAATGAGAATGCATTGTTGAACAAAACTGAAACTTTATTTAACAACATTTTTTGAAGCATTTCGTATTTAAAGTTTTATATGAAACGGCGGCAACGATTTATATTTTTATGATTTTATTTATTCGGCGCCCATTCGGGCAAAATTATCATACATAATTTGAGCGCTATCTAACATTTAACATAAGCATTATTTGTTTTGTGTTTTATTTTGATTGTCTTCACAATGACTGTTTAATTTATTGCCGCCAGAGAGAATGTTGTGAAAAATTTAATTGATTGAACGCACTTTTATTTATTAAACACAGTTGCTTAAGGGGTTTATTGACAGTTTTTCAGTCGTTTATTTGACATACGAGTTCGTGTTTTGCTGAGCAATTTTTTCTTGATAAAATTTTCCGCAAGATTCAAGAAGAAAAAATTTTTTTAATGTTACGACAAAAAATAAAAATTATTTATAAATGTAAATCCAATAAGAAATGGCAAAGTTATAAAAATCTAAACAAATATTTAGAAAATAAATAAAATTCGACAGTTAAAGCAAAGAAAAGAAACGAAATGTTTGTGATTAAAGTGAAATTTGAAGAATCTACAGAGAGAACAACAACAGTAATGATAGTTGAGCAATAAGAGGAAGAAGAACAGCAGATTCTTTTTTTAAGAAAAAAATTATATTTCTCAGTCTAGAAAATCGTCGTAAAAAAAAGAATATTTTAAAAAAGTCACAATTATAATAAAAGATACATAAGTTATATTAAATATATTGTGCGATGGCAGGCGATTTTTTATATGTATAGCGAAGAAAAAAAATATAAAAAGAAATATGTAAAAATGTGTGATGAATACTTATATATACATTTATATACATATGTATGTATATATAAATATAGATGAATATATGTATATGTGTAAAGGAATGTTGTGTGTGCATAATATGTACACAGTTGAGCAAAGCAGAGAAATGCAATTAAAAAGTAAACAAGAACAAGCATAGCGCAGCAGCAGCACAAGCAACAACAGCAATTGATAGCTAGTCTAGAAAAGTAGAAATACAAATAAGAAAATAAAATATTTTTAAAAAAAAGTATTGCGAAAATTAAGCCCCAGCAGCATTAGGAATAATTTAGCACAAGACAGCGTCATCAGCAACCAAATACAAGACAAAAAAAAACTCATATATTCAAATATTAAAGAAGTCGGTCGTTTATAAAAACTATGCATAAACCCAAAAGTAAATGTTCGCAATCGAAGTTTAATAATAATAATAACTAAAACGTGTTCGAGAACCAAAAATATTGAAAAAAAAAGATGAAAGTGCTTTGCAGCAGCGGCGTTTGACAGAAAGGCAAAACAAGCAACAACAGTGTAGAAAAAGAAAAGAGGTCACAGGAGCGTTGGCTGTATATTTAGTCAAAATTTATATATATATATATATATATATACATATAGATATATAAATATATAGCCTGCGTATATACATGACTGCATACATTTAACAACAAAAGTGACGGTGTCTGATTGAGTATAAAGTTTAGCTCGGAGAAATTGAAAACATACTAATGGAGGGAGAGAGAGAGAGAGAGAGAGAAAGAAAGAAAGAAAGAGGGAGAGGGAGCACGAAATAAATAAAAAACAATATGGCTTAGTACACAACAACAAATTATAATCAAATGTGAAAAGAACTTTTGCACAGACATGCTAATACTCATCTCATCTACATCTATGTAAAAATCTAAAGAAATGAAAAAACTAATGAAACTAATTCAAATTAATCAAATGCACTCATTTTAAAGTGTTTGAAAATCTAACGAAAACAGAAAACAGAAAAAATTATGAGAATCTTTTTTATATAACTTTGTAGATGTGCACAGCAAAATCAAAAAATAAGAAAAACTTTTGTTTCTCTTGGATTCGAAGCAGAATTGCATAGAAGTGTCGTTTTAAGTACAAAAGAAGATATTTAAAAGACATCTAAAGGTTTGACACGTCCTATTTCTACGCTATCATTCTAATCCCCTTTTAATGTAAAAGAAAAACTAGCCAGCGAAAGAAGGAACACTTGCAATTAATTCAACAACACCCAGCAAATAACTAGACATCAGCATTCACACCACCACGCGTCTTATAATTTGTCAATAAAGAACCAAGCATTTGATTACATTTCTTCCAGTACATCGTACGTCTTGCCTCACCACTTTCACTTTGCCATCGGAGCAAAACCCGACTTGTGCGACATGCACACACATATTTTAAGTTGCGCTTTTTTGACTTCTATAGTAATTCTATTCTCTCTACTATATATATATATATATATATATTTTTTTTTTTTTTTTGTTTGTATATGGTATAATAATGCTTTTTTAATAAATTTTTTAATTTTTTTAGTTCCTAGGTTATGTGTGACTCTTTTCTTTATTTCTTTATTTCAATTGAGTAACACGCTGAAGTTGGTTGTGTACACCCCAACGACAGCATGAAGACTGTATATATATATATATATATATATATGTGTTAGTATTTTTTGCGCGTTGCTCCTTGTCACTTTTTGCCTCTTGTTGTTTGTTATTATTCTTATAAGTAGTATTGTTGTTGTTGCTTTTTTTTTTTTTTGCGTTTTAACTCGTAAATGGAAAAAAGCGCGAACTTTATAATTTTCTTGCGTGTTTGTGCATTTTTTCCATAGAGTGTAAATAAATCATAAACAACAACAAGCGCTTCAATAATATCTTGCGACACCATTTTCGCCATCGATATATAAAACGAATTTAAGAAACGGCATATTAAAACCAAAGTGAACACGTTTTCATCCATTAGATCATAAAAAAATTTTTGAATACTTATGTGGATTAATAATTAATTGCATCGTAAGTAAACAATGAAAAAAAAAAAAAAAAATTGGGAAAATTGCTAATGCACTCTTTTTCGCTTGATTGATACCTGCACAATCTTACAATGGAAATAGCCAATCCTGAAAATCTTTTGTATTTTGGTACCAAAGGCACGCATTAATTTTCCATTGATTATTTAAGCCTAGTGAACTGTACTATAGAAATGTATCAATTCCCAAGACGGCCTAAGGAAGTCTCCGTTTTACTTTGTTTACTCTATGTAAAGTTCTTAATGCTCATTGGCTAGCGTTTGCGTAAAATTTGAAGGGCCACAAATTCTCGTATTCGATAATATTTAACGAGATTTTTGGTCAAGAGTTTGATCCAATGTTTTAATAACATACTAACTAGACCTTCCCTTTTTTTATTTTTATTTTTTTTTGTAGATCGGTAGCGAAATGATCGAATGATTTTCCTTATGCACAGAAAAGTAGCAGTTTTTAGCAAATCAGAAAACCGTGACACTTGCTCTGGAGGATAAATATGAAAACGTTAAGCTATTAAATATTCGGGTGCATTTTTTAAAAAAGTCCCCTTCAAAGCATTGGTTAAAATGTGCAGCTGCACCGTGCAAAAAACTCATAAAACCGTTATAAATTTTATTGTTACCTATGCAATTGCTTTAGATGCGGTATTGGAAGACAACAAAAATGAGTAGACTTGAAGAAAATTAAAACTAATATGATAAAATTGGAGAAAGTACTTGCTTCAGTGGATGGGAAATCATTCAAATAGATTCTCCTTAAAAAATTTGTAAATATTAACGGATTCTGATACTATGTGGTCCAACGTTTAACAAAAGTTTATATTGCTTTCAGTTTTGGTTATAGAATAGAATAGAATAGAATCATGGAATTGACAAGTTCTATTATAGAGTCCTAAGAAAATGAATGAAATTAAAACTCAACAAATATGAAGAAATGATTTTTGACGAGTTATCTGGCGCAGACCCGTGTTGTATAATTAAAGCACCACTCCCATCTTCTTGCATAAGGGAGCTTAGAATCGATCCGTGCACTCGTGTGTCAGTCGGTCACTCCATTAGTCGTGAGAACGAGCTTTGAGAAATGTAATAGAGAGGCCAAAGAAAGAGTCCTTATGTTAATTAGTTAGTTATTGCAACGATTGTCCCCGTATCGATTTTTAGGTTTCGGGTACGCGTGTCTTCGACAAGAGTAGATGTTTTATCTATATATCCTCAGTACGTGCATTGCAGGTGTCGATTATGTTAAATTTTAAAAACAACAACAACAACAAAGTAAATGCCTTAAGAAAGTGCCACAAAATACGTCCAGCAGGAATTTTATTACTTTTGCCCAATTCATGAGTCGTTTAGTGATGTGTCGTTCATTAGCAGATCAAATGCTGTTTGCATTGAACTTTAAAACAACAGCTTGAAGAGTTAACAATGCAATAAGTACAAAATTTTAAAATATGCAAACATTGGTTGAATATCAATACAAAACAAAATATATACACACTTACAATACTAAAAAAGGTGTTTCACATAATCAGCACTTGAATGGGCGCTTGAAGCGTTAGCTTGAATATGAGAGCGAATTTGATTTTCGTCGAAAACTTATCAAAAACACAAGCAAAAAGGGTTCATTAACAATTAATTAATTAACTGTTGTTTATAAATATCGGTTTTTTTTCTAACTAAATATCAAATTACTTTTATATTCTTTTTATCTTTCTTTCTCTTTCCGCTTTTATTTTTACACTTGCGACAACTACAAATGTAAATAACCGAAAAATTGCGTTATTATAATATTTGAAATTCTTTCTTTATGTGATATTGACACGTTGCCGTTCAAATCTCTTTATATTGTTATGGTATTGTAATCAAATGGACGGACGCATTTCTATCTGCTTGTGATGGATAATTATGATAACGACGATGATATGACGATAATACGTTTGAATTCGCCATGTATTCGTCCTGTACGCATTGCAACGTTCATATCTAAAATCGATTTCACGCAGGCACTTAAAGTAGACATTGCGAAAAAACCGCCTGTATGCTCCTCGAAACACAATACGCTACGAATAGTTAAATAAATCACTTTGTATAGGGTAGTAAAAAGCTAGGGGTGGAGAGAAGCAGTAAAAGTTGTTGTTTGCCCTCGATTGTAAAAAGGCAAAGAATTATGGCGAACCCACGAAAGTTTAGTGAAAAGATTGCGTTGCAAAAACAAAAGCAAGCCGAAGGTACGGCGGAATTTGAGAAAATTATGAATGAAGTGAAAGCCACGCGAGTGCTGGAAAACAATTTAAATAATTCAGATAATGCAGATTTAAACGCAACAATACCTAGGATTCCTAGTTGTAGCAGCGGAAGTAATAGCGGAGCAAGTGGTGGAGGTGCATCGCCAGACGCTGTAACGGCGGGCAGTGGATGTATAAGTAGCGGTGGATCTCCGACTCCAACGTATCGAGAATCGCGAGGGCGAAGTGTCGGTGTGGGGCCTATGCGACGTCCGTCGGAACGAAAACAAGATCGTTCCCCATACGGTAGTACCAATAGTGGTATAACAATGGGTGGTATGCCTGCAACTAATCAAAAGTCTTATTTAAGTCCGCCCATTGATTCCAGCTGGCGTCGCTCAAATTCAGATTCTGCATTGCATCAAACCCTCAATTTAGCCGAGGGCGATTATGGACCTAATGTTGTGATTGCTAATATGGTTGGTGAAATGAATTCTTTGCATGCCAACTATCAGCATCATCATCATCATCAAAGATCTCACTCGCCACACATTGGACGAAGTTTTAGTCCACAAGCACAAAGAAGAAAAACTGCTTTAATGCAGCAACAGCAGCATGCTCAACAGCAGCAAACGAATCATCATCAACAGCAACAACTTCACCAACAAAGACTTCAAATACAACATCAACAGGCTCAACAACAGCAACAACAAATTCAACAGCATTTGCATCAGCACCAGCATCATCATTTACAGCAATTACAACCGCAACAGCAACAGCAGCAACAGCAACAGCAACAACAACAACAACAACAACTGCATCCACAACAACAAACATCATATAATGCCAAATTTCCCAACACTAACACTATACCAGCCAATGTCATGTTCAAATCTTTGCAAGAGCAACAATTAAATTTTGCTAACACGGGCTCGTTGCCCGATCTCACTTCCGTTCATTACGGGAGTTCAGTTCCCGCTACCAATCAAACAATGATGACGGCAACACAACAGCAACAAAATTTAACGCCTATTTTATCGCCTCACAATAACGGATGCCATCATGAACGCGATCAGTCGCCCAGTCCGTTTAGTCTCGCTAATGGTGGTGGCGGGGCGGTCGCACCTCAATCACCATATCGCCAACAACAAAACTCGCCAACATCAGCTGCCAATTCATCCACAGCAAACGCACAAACATCTCCTCATTTATCATTCACCAATTTATCGGTGCAATCGCCAACTGCTAGCAGTGCGGCTCAAAGCGCTACACAGACCGCAGTCAGCACCGCGGCAGTCTATAGCACGCTTCCCACGTTGGGGGCCAACAATCCAACAAATAATATAACCGATTATCGGCAACCTTTAAATCCGCCAAGTCCGGGATCGTCTCCAGGGCTCTTGACTTCCGGTACAACTACTAATGAATTAAATGCCAGCGCCCCGCCTAGTCCTGTCAGACATCCTCAAAGTACAGCGAATCTAAACAATGGGCAGCTACAAAACGCCGGTGTAGCAACCGCCTTCGGAACACTGGATAGCAGTAGTCCTTACAATTCTTTAAATCCAGCTTTCCATAACCATTTCGAGCAGTTCCACTTGGGTGATAGCAGTCAATCACCGCAAAATAACTATGAAGCTTTAGATTTTGAAGATTTTGTTGTTAGTGGCAGTGCCGCCACACAGCAAGCGCCCAATTTCACAAACAAATTACTGGATTTCGGTGATTTAACACCACAAGCCGCCACAAGCAGAAATAGTCCTGTGAATAGTAACGATAATTCTACCACTGTGTGTAGTAACAATAATAACAATAACAACTTATCAGGCGCACAAAATCAGCAACAAATGCAGCAGCAACAGCAACAGCAACAGCATTTAAATAATAATGCTGTGATAAGTGCCACAAACAGTAATAGCGTTAATAGCACAAATGCCAATGGTCTTACAACATGTCGTTCGTTGGGTGGCATAGTTAATAACAATGATAGTTCCAATCCAAATGTAAGACAAGATATAATCTCGACTGCTTCCTCGCCTATACCTTCCCCCCTAAATCATTGTGTGCCATCGCCATCGTCTCCGCTACCAATTCCAATATCGGCGCATTCACCCCATCATCAATTGTCGCTGTCTGTACAGACATCGCCACATCATTCTCCGTTACATTCGCCACAAAATGCACCTTCGCCGCTTTCCGTGTCTTCGCCGGGTCTAACAATGTTAGGTTGCGGTAATATATCACCGGTACCTTCATCCGCAAGTCATATTATGGCCACAAATCATTTAAACAATCAAAATCAAACACAACTTAATCAACAACAGTCTACGCAACTTCAACAACAACAACAACAACAGAATCAAACAAATACACCAACAACTACCACCAATATACCGCAGATTATATTCTCTGATTATTCGTCGTCACGCGACATATTTGATCATTTAGATCTAGATTTGGGACAAATCGATGAACCCGGTCTTCAAATGCTATCCGATCAGAATCCTATCATGATTGCCGATCCTTCAATAGAGGACAGCTTTCGCAGAGATCTTAACTGATACTACGAGGAAGCTGTTGCAGCCATCGAAAGCGGAATCCTACTTGAAGACTCATTTGATCCTTTAGGTCCGCTGGTCGACGTGTCTGAAGTATTAGGTAATCCTATCCAATTAATAGGTCCCAATAATAAAAATCACACTGACGAAACCGATAAAAACAATGATCCTAACATTAGCGGCTTAGGAGATCTCGATAATGAAATTTATGAGGAAGAAGATGAAGAAGTACGAAATTTTTTTTTCTAAACAATTAGGCTTAATAAAAACAAACGTGAAAATAAGTTGAGAGAAAATAATATGCAACAGCTTTATTTAGACACATAAGCAAGTTAAATAAGTCAGTCAGGCGTCAATCAGTCAAATCGATTATTCATATATATATATATATATATATATATATATATATATATAATATATGTTATATAATATATATTATATATATATATATATATATATATAAAAATAAATAATAAATAATATTTTAGTTAATGAAATGGGCGATAAAATAGCATTACTTTGAATATTAGCAAAGTTACAGCAAAAAAAACACAGGACAGAATCAAAGGTCACAACTATGTAGGGAAATAATTAAAAATAATGATACAACAACAAATAACGAGGAAAAAAAACAAAAAAACTAAAATATAACAAAAAAAAAAAAAAAAAAAAAAAAAAAACAAAAAAATCCTTAAAAGTGTCTTAGACCTGCGACATGTACATATGATATATGCTTAAGAGATTATATATATATATATATATATATATATATATATATGATATATGATAACGGAATATAAAACAAGTGGCTTTACATAGTAAAACAACTCAAACACTCAGATACATTTGAAATGATTTCGATTTAAGTCATTGCACACTGCAATAACATTCTAATTTTCAGCGGCATTTAGATAACAGGTTGAGTATGCGACAATCTTAAATGCTTTCGCTTCCTTTTTGTTAATAAACTAATGCTTAGAAGAAATATTACCGCAAGGAATACAGAGAGAGAGGAAGAGAGAGAGAGAGAGAGAGAGAGCGAGCGAGCTTTTCTGCAGAAATCTCGATAACTCTGACAATATAAACAACATTGCATTCTTAGCGAAAGTTAACTGTGTGAGTCAAAATATTTTTACATTTATCATCGACTGAGATAATTAATGGTAATGGTAAAATCTTTTAGCCATACACTGAGCAACATCACACAAACATCACAGGTCACAAGGCAAGCATTTTTTTTTTTTTTTTGCTTTGTAGCTTTGTGTGCGATTTAACATTTGTTTTTCATTAAAACAAAATTGTAATTGAATGGATTTATCATTGACCAAATTGCGAAAGTTAAGAATTTTATATTCGGCTGGGGTCGAATCTCGCATACCCACCACCTTTCACCTTGTCCTTCATTAAAAGTTTTATTGTTAAGAAAAATTTATCTACCACGTCGTGACGTACGCCACAAATTATTTAGAAGTAATACGGTTATCATGTCGCCTTCTACTCTCCAAAGCCTTTTATGTGATATCCACATCGCTGATATTATTATTAAGAGGATAATTAATCCATCAGATCGCGGTTGAAGATTCTGTCTTGTTTACCTTATGGCTAATAAGCATAAAAATCTCAAAAAAGTGTAAAAAAAAGAAAATATAATCACTTGTAATTTTGTGTGGGCATGGCCGAATTTTTCCATTTTTGCACGTAAATACTAGAGTTTCGCGTAAAGTAAATATGAATAATTTCAGCCTTCTACCTCTTATAATATGCGAAGCGTTAGTGAAAATCCACAAATGTTTGTTTAGAAAAACAAAGTTGCGTTCAGTTTACGCTTCACTGCGGACTTGGGCGTGCTCGCACCAATCTGGCCTACGTGTAAAAAAACTTCGAATGTTTCTGCACACACAGATGGACAGACGGACGGACATGACTTGATGGTGTTTCTGCAGCTTTCTTTTGGGTGATTGCAAATGTTATGATAAAATGCGTATAGTCGCCATACTTCAATGATGGGTCTAAAGACGCTTTGCTTTATCCTTTTTATGGCTACAATGAATGCTCATATAAATCAGAATACGGTCTTTTTAGCGCTCATAGCATTGTTGTGGAGAAGTGCATGCCATACGTGGGGACTCGCAACATTTATAAGACTTACTATCTTTACCTCCTATCAATTATAATAACAACATGAACATGGACCAAAATCAAGATTAATTTTATGAAAAGTAATTTTAAAGAGGGAATAGGAAGATGATATATAAAAAATAATTTCTACTCTTAAGTAACATTTTTCCAACTCCGAGGATCACTTTAAATTGTCAAACTTGTGTCGTAAAGAGGTGATATAAAAAGTGAGAAAAAGTGCATTTTCGGGCTTAATACGATTTCATTAAATGTCAATATCAATGCCCTTAGCTTACAAATGAAAGATATTAAGGGTTAAGCAAGGTTTTCGAAATGATTCAAAACTGCAAAATTATCGATAAATATTACGATAGTAGTTGTAAATGTTCGTTATTTCGAAGCGAAGTTCCATTTGTCATGTCATGTCATGTCATGTTTCTATGAACTATTCGAGTAAACGATTAATACCTTAATTGTAGAAGCACAGCGATAAAATTAATCAAACTATAATAATTGCTACAATAATTTTGGATATAAACAAAATGGTTTCGACAAATCCATTATTTACTGTTGACGCAAAAAAAAAAAAAAAAAAAAAAAAAAACGATCCTCGACTAACCAGGAGTAGTTTGCACGATTCCATTCCGAAAATTTCGATATCAAAGATGCATCTCACTAAAAAAAAAAAAAAAAACCGATCGAAAATTTTGCAACTAACGGAAGAAGACCGTCACGTAAAAGGTGTCAGGAAATAGCATAGGCAGTAAACATCAGCCACTCGACAGTTGGGAATCGTTTGCAAAATGTAGGCTACAAAATGCAGCTCGAAACCGTGGGGACTTTCCAATACGATCTAATATGAAAAAATTGAGATCTGTAGGTTGAATGCGAGAACACAAAGCGGACAGACTTAGCTTAGCTGAAAGTGATTCTCAATTAATCGATGGGTATAGTAAGTCCTTCTAGGTGTTGCATACATACGCACAAACTTAATATAGCCTTGCACCATAAGTGATGTAGGGTATGAGAAAAGATATAGACCGCCTCAAAGATCACTGAGTGAAAACATAAAAAAATCATTTTTCTAAAACATTAAATTTTTTTTTTTTTTTTTTTTTTTGATGAAAATTAAAAAAAAAAAAAAGAAGAAAACATTTTTGTCCTAATGAAAATTAAAAGAATATTGCATTTTTTTTTTTTTTTTAAGATTGGTTATGAACTAATCTACGATTTGTCTTGTTAATATTTACGCATGCCGCGTATATGTGCGTCCTCGATAGAAATGCGATTTGATGAATATTTTATAAATGTTTTAGTCGAAATGGCGAGGAGGGAATAAGGCCAGAGGAATCCGGAGGAGTGTTCCTATTAGAAAAGTCCATCTTTCATTTCATTTCATGTGTTATGTGAGTGTTTATCGTTTTCGTTCAATAAAATTAATGGGATTATATATATATATTTATTTATTTATATAGTTCCATATGTTGTAAAATTGTAAATAATCAAAAAAAAAAAAAAGCTAGAATGAAAATAAAAGAATTAATAATAATAAAATTAGTAATAATAGCAATGAAAGTTTACTTCTTCATTAATCAAATTTTTTTTTCTTTCTTCCAATCCTAAGCAAGTTGTACGGAAATCAATTATTAGCTTCTAAGCCGAATTGTTTCCATTCAAATATTTTTTTTTTTTTTTTTTTTTTTTTTTTTTTATTACCTTCTCTTTCTTATGTTGTCGTCTTTCTTTCCAAAAACCTACCTAAAACATACATATGCAATGCAATCAGTTTGAAATTATGTATAAAAAAATTTTAAATTAAGTAAAATTCATTTTAGTACGATACTAAAATACTATAAAATTTTAAATAAATTAAATAACAAACACTTTACACTATTCTTCTATGTATAATAATCACGGCGATGATATCAAGAACTAAGATTTAAACCAAAAAAAAACTATAAATGTAAAAAAGAAAAAGAAACGTTTGTAAAAATTCTCTAAAGCGTGTAAACAGTAATTTTATGAAATTTTACTACAAAAAAAAAAAAAAAAAAAAAAAAAAAAATATGAAGAAGATTGAAGGAAAGAAATTTTTTTTTTTTTTTTTTAAAAAGCTTTTTTGTGTCCATTTAAATAATATTTTCCTGTTATCTGTAAAAGAAAAACAAAAAAAACAAAAAACAAAAAGAATTAAAAATGAAAATCTATCGTACTTTACGGACCGAATTACCGACATCTTGTCCTATATGCTTCTATATTATAGCTTTAGTGTAACACCATCTCACTTGAATTTTCCGCATTTTATCACTTTTTTTTTTTTGTTTCATTTCATATATAGCAGAGATTGATTATTTTTACATTTGCATATCGGAAAGTATTCGTATTATTGACCGGGATTAATATAAAATTCTTGATCGTTCAACTAAATTTCAACTAAACAATGTAAAGAAGACCGTAAGTGTTATATGAATCAGAAGAAGTCCACTACTCCTCCTTCGGATTAATAGTTCTTAACATAATAGGAGTTTTCTTATTTAAAACAAAATGGACAATCAAAAGCATCCGTACCGTCCGCAGTTGGCTGCTACATCTACCTGCCTAGCTCTCTGTTACTCGATGGTACATACCTTTCAAAAAAAGCAAAAAAGTAAGAGTCGGTCTTCTATAAGCCTGAAATTGAACGCGTAGGATTGGAGGAAGGTGTAGCAAGAAAATTACTGCTATAGATTAAAATTTTGTACAATAAACTTTTCCAACTTATGAGAACTATATGAGGAATCGAAAAACAATTCTCCATAGTAAACTTATTCTCTCTAATGCCGGTTATATTAAGCAAAAAAAAAAAAACGCATATCCGCCTTGGGAAGAACCTCCATTACTCACTCCTACCTCCGCCAATGCAAAATTTTTTTTATTAACTTTGAACACATCAGTCGCCCGATCAAAATTATGTTTGAATTTTGAGTTTCTTGAAAATCTATGATGTAACTGAAGTTTGTCTTTTAATTTATTCATAACAATATATGCATTGCTATTTTAATTTCCTTAAATAGTTGTCAACTAAAAATCGCGCACCCTGTATTTCCTGTATATGCTTTCTGCTTCTTTTGAATACTGTTTTTTTGTTACTTGCGCAGTGTCGATTGTCTAATTAATTTGGATCTTTTGATCAGTTATAATTTTGTACGCTTGGCGTAGTAGGCGAAAAAAGTGCTATCACACTAATGCCAAAGAAGGAAAAAGTTTAAATCACGTCCTTCCAATCTCTGCTAAAAATATTGTAATGAAAA